TTTTTTTTTTTTTTTTTTTTTTTTTTCTATCCCTCGCGTAATAATAAGGGGCGGTCGCCAAGGTGGGTTCATTAAATATAAAGCTCGCCAAATGTTAAAAACCGCGCGGCGTATTCGTATTCGTCGGTGTGCGGCTATACGCGCGTGCCACAATGTCGAATGTAGCGCACAGTTTACCGAACGCGCCGAACTGCGTCGGGCGTCGCGGCCCGTTGTTTTGTGCGGGTCCGTTCGCGACATTGCGCTTGAAAAAGGCCGGCAAAGACCGAGCGGCCCGAAAAGAGCGCACGGTTTCGTGGCTGCCGCAGGGCGGATGGCAGAGAAATCCACGCTGAAAACGCCGCCGATATTCGATGTATGCCGAGCATTTGATTTTCTCGGTTCTCCCCGCGTCACGTCGTTTCCGCTCCCGCTGCCCCCGCGCCCGAAATCGTCCCGATGACGTTATTGATTGTTTCCGTAAATTCCGCTCGCCGCGACACGGCAGTGTCGTAATTAAAAATTGTTATTAAATTAATTTCCATTTGTTTTCGCCGTCAGAATACGCGACGGCTGTTAAAATGTATTTGCGTCGTATCCGTGAATTATAAATGATATTTTTGTTTATTATTTTACGATTGATTTTTAATTCAATTTAATTGAAATTTGAATTAATCGATTATTCGCAAAAACGGGTTGGGAAATACGTCATCTCAGTTAAGGAACTCGGAAGTTTTTTTTTGTTTTCAAAGCTTTACCAAGCGTAGTAAAACAGGTTTTTTTCCCCTTCGCCTTTGACCCAACTCTTTGGGAGTGGGGTCCACGTCCTAATTTTCTACTCGGCCCGATCTCCCGTACACCTGTTTTCCTTCCTTCGTTCTCAATCGCGTCGCACCATCAACCCTTTTTCGGTCTCCGTCTCCTCCTCATTCCTCCTGCTTTTCATTATGAATCTTAATGCTTTTGATTTCTTTCATCTCATGACGTTTCAAAATTTTGAAATTAATCATTTAGTAGAACATATGTGTATGCATTTCTATCGGAGGCCGTAGAACAGGAGTGCCTATCCCGCGGCCCACGGTCGATATTAATGTGGCCCTCACTTCAGTTTCAAAACCATCAATTCGTTACACAGATAGCATGAGAAAAAATCATTTTGAGAATATAAAACTACAAAATATTAAAAATTAAATAAACTAAAAATCAACTGAATGGTAGGCATATACTGTTATATGAAAGTTTTATCTTTTTTTGGGATCCGATAGCGATAAGGAAACTAATGTAACTAAAATAACAATTAAATTATTTTTAAATTGTTTTTTTTTTTTTTTAATTATAAATAATTATATTTTTTCTTTGTAATCGTAAATAGAATGAATTATTATTGAAAAAATGACTGAAGCCCACAACAGCTTCTACTTACACGGACGTGGTCCAATATTCATAAAAGTCGGAAACCCGTGCCCTAGAACTTTAACCGCATAAAATATCATTCAGGGGACAGCGGCGTTCTGCGTTCCCTGAAAGAGGGACCTGTACACGCCTATACGATTATTACGGTATTATTTTACTGAAACTATCATTTACGACTCGGTCCGTTTAAAAATCGAATCGACAATTAAGTATAAAACATATCTCACTTGTTCTATCGTGATACAATTATACAGTCAGTTTACAGAATCGATAACCATGTAATAATGATAACAGTTTGTGTTCGATCCTTTTATTACAGGAATAAAACTTCGTAGCATGGAGACAGAGTGATTTTTTTTTTCTTCGAAAACTCATGATTTTTTTCAAAAAAAAAAACTAGTTTCACACCCGTATTTTCGAGGGTAAAACGACTGTCTAATTTTGAATTTCAAATAGCAAATTTAATTCGAAAATTCCACGAATAGATGAAAAATTTGTTGAAACTAATAATACTCCGTCCGTCTGTTTGTACGGAACATAAGTTGCCGTTTGAAAACCATGATTTCTGCACCCCCAACCACAAGAGTAATCAGAAATAATGTTAAATTTTAGAGCCACTTGTTTCTTAAACGTACTGTCGAAGCGGGGGGCATTATTTTTTTTCGAAAAAAGCCAACAGTTTGCGAAACAATTGGCGTTCCACGTTTAAACGTATCGCCTTGTATCGCAGCGGAGTAGAACGTTGTTGATTAATTTTATATACAGCGCCGTATATAATTACCAATCGACATAAAACGCCAATACGTTGTGTACGGTTTTTCACGTGCCTCTAGGTGCATTAGCTACCTATACACTACAGTATTAGGTACCTACGTTATAATTTATCACTGTCTAGTTTTTACAGTCGCCTACCAAAACTTTCGGGGTAGCAGGTATCTGTTGTTTTTAACATCTATCGCAGTCGTATATTATTTCCTCGCTCCACGGGTCGACCCCCTCCTTAAAATGTATATATGTATACAGGTAGGTACCGTAATACTTTTTTTTTTCACGTTTAATCGAAATACTGGCTCAACTATATATGCGCGTATATACGAGTATATATACCCGTATGTACGTATATTTTCGGTTGTTTTTTTTTTATTACCAAGTCTAATTCATCTCGATCAATTTCCTATATATCGAGTTCGTCTCGCGTGTATTTAAGTGATTTCCCGTCCATCTATCCTTGTCACACGGGATACTATATCGGTCCGACGACGACGATATCGTTCTATATATGCGACGCACAAATGTATTTTATTATTTGCACGATTTTCTTCTCTTATTCGTCACGCACAATCAAATCGACAATTTTATTTACAGTGTCTACCCCGTTATTTTTGAGTGATACGGACGTATTGTCAGATAGGTATATAATTCTATTCACCCGTCACATCCATTTCTCGATAAGTTTTTATTTTTTTATTTATCAATCTAAGACGGTATACGCACGTGTGTATTATACAAGTACAAGCGATTACGCTATCATTTTACAACATTTAAAACTATACTATAGATATTCGGCTATCGTAAGCGATACCGAAACAATAATCTTAATCTCTCCCTTTCGTCCAGGACATAATTTAAAATTTATTTAAAATAACAGGGCTTGCCCCCACAACACCAACATATTTACAAACAATTCAAGTTTAGTATAAAATACCAATTTTGACACAAAGAAGAGTAAAACGTTGGCACGAGAAATATTGAGAACAAAAGAAAATAGGGTTGGTATTGGCAATAGGCAAAAGGCGGATAATTTGTTCATTGAGTTCGTAATTAGCATAGCGGAAAGGAAGTGAAAATATTACGGGTGAACGGGTAAGACGAAAAGAATGTATAAAAATGAAGTTTTAGAAAGTAATAACGGGCAATCAATGTCGTTGGAGAGGAGTTTTTGTAAGAAGCTTACATTGGCAGAAAGTCTGTGAACGGACAAGCTTACTAAATGTATAGAAGACGGGGTCATAGACATAAGGTGGGTGCTCGCTGCTCAATTTTGAGTAGGAAAGCTGCACACTTAAGAAATTTACTCTCTACTCGTTCTAATTTCTAGAAGACGACTGTAGTGTGGGGGTCGCAGAACACAGAGCTATATTTAATAATTGGTCAAGCGAGAGGCTTTAGAAGAAGCACATGATTCGAATTCGGAAGAAATACGTGTTTCAAGGAACCATGCATTTTTAAAGCTTTACAACAGGCATTCTCAATATAAAGATTAGGATTTAACGAAGGACATAAGGTAAAACCGAGATATTGAATTTTACTGATAGCCCTGGATAAATTTAAGACTTTAATAGCATAACTGAAGATAAGAGGTCTAAGATAACGTGCAAAGGCCAATGTTCAGCTGGAGGTACAAATAATTTGACCGGGTTACAACGTTATTCATATCAGATTTTAACGCTTACAGCAATCAATTGTATCAATACGAACAAATATTTTTAAATTATCAGTGAAAACTAAAAGATGACTGTGATTAATATTCTTAATATGAATAAAAACGAAGAGGAGACAGGTGATCACTCTGAGGAACACGAAACGTAAGAGTAAACAGGTCGGATCTAACACACCACGGAGGTTGGTCTGAGAAACTTTGATTTTAAGGAAAGATTTAAACCATGACAAAACGAAACATGGCCGGTACGGAGAACCCTCAACATGATAAAAACAAGAGTGGGATGTATCAAAGACGCTTTGAAAATAAAATAAACATAATTTTAAAACCGTAAGATTCTTCACTTTACTCAGAATCTAAAAATGGGATATACTCATCAATGCGGAGCCGATCCAACGTTGAAACGCTCAATCAACTGTCCATTAGACCCTTTCACGTTCACAGAGAATGATATTCAACCAGTCACTGAAGACTCAATTAACGTGGCCCGACATTGGACCGAAAGTGTAAAATCAATCTGACAACTCGTCTACAATAAATCTGTCTTACTTGTTGCGTAATTTTTTTTCTAACCAATCGCATAACCATTTCAATTTATTTGTATTAATTTTACCACACTCCTGTTGTACGTTTGATACGAGAAAAATTCGAATTTATACATTATGCAGCATTGAAAATATCATTTTTAATTGAAAGACGATTTATAAGACGAGTCCGTTTATTATTATTTTTTTCGAAAAATAAATACTATTACTAATTTGGTATAACAATAATGCAAGTCCGTCTGATAGACAGGGAGAAAAATAGTGTTATTGGACCTCAACCGAATTCCGGGAATTAAGAGGGAATGTCCGCTAGAAATATTGTAATTATATTTTATTTTTTTTTATTTTTGAAGAAAAACCTAAAAGTTACAATAATTGTTACAGAGTTACTAAGATAACAAGACCTATTGCGTATTACTCATGGTACTTATCTACGTATGTTTATTTTACGGACATTTCTCATTGTATATATAAATACCAAAACCGCACAAAAATTGTGCGAGCAAACTGACGAAATATTATGATACCCGCGGTAAAGATGTTGAATCTAATGTGTGCAAAAAATCCACTTTGGAATTATCCATTACGATACATAAATTAATTGGTCTATATTTCACTGTGGCAAAACTTAGTATTGATTTCGTCGACTGGTTTAAAATGTATAAGCATTTTGCGAAATTGAACTGTCCACATGGATTGACTGAGCTGTGGTGAAACGTGACAAACCATTTATTAGGCGTCGACACGTAACAACTCTAAAAACGGCACATCGCATCATGTTTCGCCACTTACAGTTTAATTTCTAAAAATATGGCGAATAATGATAATATCAATAAAAAAAAAAAAAATAGAACTTGAACGATACAATATAAATCTGGTAAAATCGTTTAAAATACGTATTTAAAGGGAATCCGGCGAGACACCTGTCCATAACGGACATTCACGAAAGTCACCCCGTCAAAAGGCGTTCGTTGTAGGCATTGTAGACCGGAAAAACGCTCCACAATATTGTACACCGTCCCCGATCGCAAAACTACGAATGTGTAATATCTCTATTGTCGACGGGTCCACGGAAATTCAAGATTTCAACATCGAAACTAAAACTAACTGAAACTTTGTCCGCTCGCGAAAAGTTTACTGTAGATTATCTGATAATGCGGTAGGTAGTGAAAATCTCGGAGAAAAGTTCATACTTTCCGATAAGTTATGGTAAATAATCCGGGACGCCTCACGTTACTCCGATCGCCCTGTATCCACAGTTTCGAATTTCGATATCGCATTTTCATATTTGTTACACCGACGTCACGTTTAACAGCCGCTAAACGATCGGCACATAAAATTATTTTATAGAATACTATAATCAATAATGTTGCGTAATAATATGTAAACGAGGTGTTTGATGAAACGTTAAATTGTTCGTCTCGCGTTATTTTCGTCTCGACAATGACGAACGACACTGCAGCAGTCGATTCTCGGGGCGTATATCAAATACAATAATACGATCGGGGCCTGACGTAAAGAAGCAGAGGCCTTGTGCACTACGCATTTTTCGGGCCCTATTTGAGTTAAATACGATTCGGTAGAAATTAAAAAAAAAAAAAAACATTATTTTTATTATTAAGAGATGGATTATGATAGCGAATTTCTTAAATTGTATCAAATTTCTATTATTACTAAATTATCTATAAATCACAATTTTTTTTTTTTTTCTAAATTAATTTCTTTAAGCATTTTTGTCCGTGTAATTTTTTTTTTGCGAATTCACCAATAATGTTTTCGAACGATTGATAATGGTGAACATTCGGTTTTCTTTTAGTTGAAGAAAAACATATTCGAGTTTTTATGCGTTTAAATGAAAAATATAATAGATACGTATAATATTATTCGATTAAAATATTTCGCGCATGGGGTGCGGTCGCTGTTGTTGTAGGTGGGAATTTGGGAAGGTACGATTATTGTTATTTTGTTTGTTAGTAATTACGATAGAATTCAATTTATAATTAACCATTAGCATAATAACGTGATGATATTTACGAAAACTAATGTTTAAAACGTTCACGTTAGTTTTCGATTAAAAACGCTGTTTAAACAACAACTTCAACAATAAAACATTGTTTAAAACAAAAATAGTGTTTTTTTTTTTTTTTTTTTTTTTTACATACAACTCTCTGACAAAAGCTAAAGGTTTATGAAGTATGTATATTTTGCTTAGAATTAACTATCGATTTACGGTCGTTAAATATATTAGTGAATAATATGTTAAATCGCAACACTTATTAATATTATTAATCGTTAATCATACTTAAAACTGAGATTGTGATTTTACGTAAGTACGCTTTTAAGTAGTTTTCGGTTGCGGGCCCGGGAAAATATAATGTGAAAATAACAAGACTCAGCGTTAACGAATTAAAAAGTTAAAATTAACTTTTAAATTTTTACTCGACTCGTTGTAATTTTTTTTTTCACAATAACGAGTCAATTTCGAATTAAATTGCGTCGATTAAATTGAAATTACTTTTAATTTTTTAACGCAATAAAGTAATATTGCATCCGGTGTATTTTTATTTATTTCATTGATCCACTAGAGTAAAAAAAACCCGTGCGTTTAACATCCTTATTATTTAAAAAAAAAAAAAAAACAAAAACAAAAAAAAAAAAAAATTCTACTAACTACAATATAATGTTTGATCTCTTTCACTGAGAAAAAAAAAATCGAATCGACCCGAGTTCAGTTACTAAGTTATTTGTTTTCGAATTCCTTTGTAATCTTAACTTAGTTAATTCTACTACACGGTACGATACACTGCGCAAAATACGAAAATATTTCGAGGAAAAAAAAATCGCCGGGGAAACTTCGATCGGGAAAACTCGCATACAATCGGTACCTAGAATATTATCTATAAAACACTTCTCAAAACACGCTTTTCCATTACGGACGATTAATAACGTGTATATCGTTTTATTTCTTAACAAAACGGATAGTTATTTACACTCTGCGTGTTTTCTTGAAAAAAATAAATAAATGTATACGAAATCCCGGTCGTGAGCAATAGGCTTGATAATATTATATTTATTTAGCATAATAGTGTTTTTTTTTTTTTCTTTTTTTTACCTTACGTTTTGCGACGATACTACAATAGTTATTTTGTAGGGTTTTTTTTGTTCGCCTCGTCGTTATGCGTTTTCGCTCGAATCGCCGCCGCCGCCGCTTCATCGCCATGGATCTTTTACACCGGCATTTTTTTTTTATCCTTTTCAAATTCATAAAAGGGAAAATAACGGTAGCGATAATAATAGAACATACGTCTCGTTTTACAATATGGTTTACTATCTGTGTGTGCCTCTAGCACGCGGAATAGAAAAATTGTTAGAGACGAGTGAAAATGAAACTAAAACGTTCCATTGTCGTTTTTTTTTTTTTGTCACCCTAATTTTTTTTTTTTTTTTTATCGGTGTTGCCAATAAGCAGTGATAATATGATACGACTAAGGCAATTTTTTCATCGACAATTAATAAATATAGGGATATCGATGTGGACGTGTGATGAATCGAAACCGATTTCGGCATTTGATCGTAACACATGCGTGTACGTTACGCATTGATGTTTTTTTTTTTATTTATTATTTTTAATTGCCAAGTAGAGGAAATATAAACGCGAAAAATGATAAGCGTTGCTTATTTTGGCGGGGGGAGGGAGGGAGGGTGTACGTCCCTCGCGGTATATATCGCGGGTGTATCGCGGTTTTCAATACGCCCCCTCCTCGGTCGAGCTCCCGATACGCCACCGGCGCGCGCGACGATATCGCCGTACCGTTACCGTTCTCGGTTCGAATATCGGGTGTACGCGCTCCGGAGTGCACGGCAGACGGGTTTCGAGATAATCTCGCAAACACAATGACGACGGCGATGACAACGACAGCAACAACAACGATACCCAACGCAATAACGCCGTCGTAATTCGCGTTATTGTTTTGTAATATCCGTAATAATGCCGTGCGCCGTCACCGCGCGCAACGTCAATATTTGTTCGCCGGATATCTATTGCGACGGCGGACGGGCGGACGGGCGGACGGGCGGACGGGCGGCGCGGCGCGTATTATACGCGCGACCGATTAAACAGCGCCGCGCGCGTCGGTCGCGCCCGAAATCGAAAAATAATATTTGTCTTTTCCGAACGTCCGGGGGTGCCGGCGCGACAACAAACACCGCCGCGGGGCCGTCGCCGACGCGCGCGCGGACGATAAACGGCGGCGCGAGCGTAACGCCGCGCCGCCGTAACGTCGCGGGACATCCGTTTCGCCCTGCCGCGTGTATGAGCGCACCGCGTTTACCGTTCCGCGGCGTTCGTTACGCGCGCGCCCGCGGGCCGCAGCCGAACGCGCCCGTCACGGGACCCGCCGCGACGCGGACGTCTCCGCGTGACGGGAAAACGACCGGCGTTTCGGTGTCCGGCGCGTTTTTGGCGATAAACCGACCGGACCGCGCGAAACACGCCCGCAAACGCGCGCGGTGTTGCGTACACGCCATTATTATTGCGATTGGCATCGATCGGGTCGTCATCGTGCGAGACGTGCCGAATAGACGTGTTCGGTGTTCGGTGTTGTCTGTCGGCGGTGAACCTCGACGTCAACGTCTTCTTCGGCGCCAACGCGGGTACTCTGACACCGCCCGTTGCGCATACTCGCGTAGGCCCCGCAGTTCTGGTATCGCCGTTTTTATCGCTCGTCGGTCGCGGTCGCGCGGTTTCAATCGGTCTGGCGGACGGCGTTTTTGTGCATCGCCCTGCGTAACACGGTTAACTCGTATTCACAAACCGTTGGACTTTCGGCCCGCCGATTCGCCGTGCGTAGAACATCTTTTTTTTTTTTTTTTTTTTTTTTTTTCGATACGGGTTTCGTTTATGATAATTTCCTAGAGAGGGGATAGCGCATTCTATCAGCACGGTACCATCACTAATGTTTACCGAATAAACGATTTTTGATAAAATTGAATTTTATTTTATTCTGCGGTCTAAGATATCATGTTGTTGAATAATGTAAAACTTGATTTTAAAATATGCGGCGAAGAAGGAAATTTCGGAAGGGGCGGTATTTTACCTCCCTTAACCCCCCCCCCCCTCCTTCTCTTTGTGCGCGTACCCCACTGATAACATGTACTGAAGTGGTGAATTACAAAATTCTATTACGCGCGACTCGGTTTAATTTTTAAATTATAATATTTAAATTTTTTCAATTTTGTGTTTGTTGTCGTGCAAACTCTCGTTTATACCTTTATTCAATATCAAACTTAAATTTAAAATCTAAGAATCCATAGTTTATAATATACGATGAGTACGTCGAATGATATTACTTGGAAAATATAAGTTTCAGAAACGATTGCACTGCGAAGCAGTATAAACAATTTCCACGATTTTTTTACCCAAACGTCTATATTTTTATTTAATTTTCAAAGAATAAACCGCTGTAAAACAATTGTTTAAATACGCGTATATAGTTACTTTTCGTATCTACTCCTAGAAGTGTTTTTCGAGATATTAATTTTTAGAAGAAAATACACTGTTGTAAAACTCGTAAACCGAACAAGTTGTATACTCGTGATTGCCGTATCCTAATTTCCCTTATTGGTCATTACCATGGATCAGGACATTTAGCGTTTTAAATCCATAACAAAAAGCGCATAAAAACACCAAAAAAAAAAAAAAAAAAAACTCCGAGAAGAACACTTAAAACATATTTAAAAACTAAAAATTATAGAGAAGTTAAAAGCCTTTCTAATGGTTCTTCTTATAAAATCAAATTCTTTAACATAAAAAAATGTTATTTCATAAATTAGAGCTAATGGAGGAGAGAGAGAGAGGGAATTTTAATATCTTTCTACCATTTTATTAAGTGATTTTTTTGAAATTTCAAGTGTTCTTTTTTTTTTGTTTTCGTGAATTTTAAGTGCTAACAGTCCCGGGCCTTCGCTCGAGGTTTCATCACTAGTTTCATCAGTTGTCAAATTATAGAATACATTGAACTGTATTGTATATTATAATATATTATGTCTTATTGATGGACGATGCGACTGATATGTAAATGCAATTCGTATTTGATGAATATATCCGAAATACGTATAGTTAATATCTCGCATATTCAATTGCACATTAATATCGCGATGCAATTATAATTATACATTATATCAGGTAGTGCAATTAAATACAATTTGAAGTGGAACCGGCCATCACCGACGGACTCGCAATACACACATTGTTGTAGAAATAAGCATAGATATGAACAATTGTATACATGTAAGTATGTAAATTGTAGTATTGAAAAAAACTATACGAATTTCTAAATTTCAATTCGGGTACCTAAATAGATGGTGCTCGTCGGAAATATTTTAAAATTGAATGACGTTTAAAAAAATAAAAACACAAAAATATTAGCCGCAGAAAATTCAAACGTTTCAAAGGAATGCAGTTTTGTATGGTTTTCAATTATATTATTACAACGCAACAATAACTCGCTATCGGTACAATAGCGTAGATTTCCGTGCCTACACAGTATTATAATATGAATTTATTTGTCCGCGGATCGTGCAGGACGACAATAGTTATTTGTATTCGAATTATAAAGCTTTTTCAGACTGCACGATAACATATTATTTTATAAACGAAAGAAAAAAAAAGACCGACATGTTTCGCACGTGGGCGGGTCACTATTGTAGGTGAGAAGTTGGGTAGGTAAAAGGGAAATTCAATGTTTATCCGTACGTAACGGTTAACCATTGCGAACGAAAAACGATTATGAGTGGAGGTCGATTATTCGTGTTTTAAAAGGCCGTGGCTATTTTCGATTATAATACATTTCGTACATTTCCCCGTTTTCCGTACGGTTTTTCCTATTTATTGTGAAAAACCCCGGGAAAATCATCTCCATAAAGTACTACACCAGTCAGATTTCCTTTCAGTAAAAGTGCCGCACTTGAAAATCGGAGCAAAATTACTGATGGAAAAGTCGTACGCAGAATAAAAAAAAAAAAAAAAAAAACAAAAACACCATTGTAAAACCAGTACATTCTTCGCTCCGCTCAGAATCTAAAAAAATCCCCCGGCAATACATCAAAAAGCTCCGGGAGTAAAATAACTAACACTAAAACCAATTTATTATCCCGAAATTATCACATCCGATGCGATGTTTTAATATTTATGTATTTCCCCCGGTAGTGTATAGAGTACTGGAGGACGGTGTGTGACGGCGAATAAACAGTCCGGTCACATAATGTATTATTATAATACGGTTTTATGCTTAAGACGTGTTGTGTTTGTTTAATTTTTTTATTTTCTTTTACTTTATTTCTCGGTGTATATATGTACGGTATATATTGTATAGGTACCGGGCGTGGTAAAAAAAAAAAAAAAAAAATAAGAATAAGAATAAAGAAATAAAAAGCTTCGGCGGCGGTACGTTTTCTCCCTTTGGTTCCCCCCCCCACCGGTCGTCGAGGCGCGACGAATTCGGTCTTTTAATATTATCGAGTCGATGACGCCGCGCGAAAACTTGACTCAACGTTCGTTTCAACGCGCATTGCGACGGACTTGTCGTTTCGTTTTTTTTTTTTTTTTTTTTTTTTTTTTTCCGTTTCTTTTATTCGCAAAGGCGACGGCGACGCGCGCCGCCCGCACAAGGCGACGCGACCGGAAAACGGCGACGGTCCTGTAAACGGAAACTTTCCGCGGTAACGACTGCGCGGCCTTAACCTCGCCCGTATTATTATATACAGGTGTATACCGCTCCGGCCGGAGCGACCCGACAGCGTCACCGGGATAAGGTCGAATAATTTTGTTCGGAAATAATTTGATTAAACGGTCGGGGGGGTGGGGAAACGACGCGATAGGTCGTTAGGTAGTTTCGGATGAAAGTTTACCGCCCGCAAACAGCCGGGGCGACATTCGCCTTTTACCGTTACCGCCGACGCCGCGCGAAGTGCTTACCGCACACGACTGACGGGTCGTCGCACACGCCGGGGGCGTTTCGACGTTCCGATTTGGTCTTCTTCTTTTCCCCGTTGCTTGTCACGGGCGGGCCGGCGCCAAAAGCCCGGACTAACAGCCGCTGGCGGTCCTATCACTCAGCGGGCCCCGTTCTGAACCCCGTACATCTCGGCTCGGCCCGACACTTTCCGAAGGACGCCGACATTATTCGTCTTTGTATTCCGGTTAACGGCATCAATAACTGCGAAATAAATCGAAATCGAAATCTGTGTGTGCAATGCGCATTTTGTGTACGGACACAAGACCGACGGCTGGTTCGCCAACGGTCATCGAATAACAATAAATAATCGTCAGAACCGACGATAATGTTACGGGCAACGCATTCAGTTTGGTTTTTATCTCGTAAAACACTTATCGAAAATCGCGTTGTCCGCATATTTTGAAAAATGTGGATTTTCGCCCGATATTATGGGCGCTTAATGTTATAATCAAATTTTCAAACATTTTCAGTCGCTTAACGTAAGTACCGCGTAAAGTGGATTGCGGCGTAGGCGTGTCGCCCCTGTGGGTCTGTGGTGTGCCTACAGTTTCTAGCGCCCCCGAGAATGGCGGTCTCGTAGCACCCGCGCGTATTTATTTTGAGGCGTACGTTATCAAGGATTCCGTAGCAATCCGAGACGGTTTTCAATTACACACCGATCCGAGAACCACGGAATACTCGTTCGGGATTCAATGTAAACGGGACGGATAAATATCCGCGCTATTCGCATATCCGTACCGGTTTGCGAAAAAAATAAATAACAATAATAATAAAAAAACACGGCCGTTTTATACCGAAACGCGTTTCGCGACTTGCGGTGTCGAACGTTCCGATTTGCACGGCGTTCGCGGCACCTAACGAAACCGTTCGTAACATTATCGTATTATACGCACGAGGTATGCCCCCCGCGTACCGCCGCCGTTTGATAATTGTCATAAATAAATGATATAAACGGGAAATCGGGCGTTCGCCCGGGGCCGGGCGACGAATTAATTAGCATTAACATATTGCTGTTTTAAGTTTGTTCAACTTTACTTTATAACACGGGCGCACAGGTACACTGACGCGTTTCGCGGCTGGAGGTGTTAACGCGACGTTATAACAGTCGTCTCGACGAGATACGCGAACCGTATTGTTCGCAGACCCGTCGCCAAAAACTTTCAGCATTTTTCATTTAAACGCATACACACACACACACACACATATAATATGTTTAAGCGTAAAGCATTTTATCGGATTATTCGTATACGCGTGCGTTCGGTTTAAGTATATTATTTTTTTTTGTGTCCCCCCCCCGGTTTTTACAAATGTTTACAAAATGATTGTTCTTTAAGCGCCAAATAGACAGATATCTATTTATACAAAATAACATTGAAAAAAAAAAAAAAAAACGTAGCTTAATAATGTAGCTTAATAATTCACGGGTCGCAATGTTCAAAATCTAAAATATTATTATAATTCATACGCGAGTGTACAAACAAAAACGTACAAACAATTCCTCGCTGCGTAATATACACGTGTACACGGGGTATTACAAGTCCGCACTCCCCTTTTTAATAGCGCTCCCCCCTACGGTTGTGCGCGATAATACACTGCGATTGTTGTCCGAATGAGTAATCTAAAATGCACACACTCGTACCGTGAGTCATATACATGCATTATTATAGAACGACCGATTTTTAAACACTTTGCACTCGTTTCGCGGGTTGTGTGTTCAATTCGCCGTTACATTTTTTTTTTTTCTCTCCTGATATTCACCATGTAGGTATACAAAATCGTCGTTAGCGCGGGCCGCCGTCGCCGTCGCGTACGATAAGAGTAGCGTAAAAACCGTACACCTGGCAATAAATTATTATTCTCCCGGGGCCGTTAAATTATACGGCGTACGTGCAGGCCGAATTAATTCCACCCTTATTTTTATAAGAAAATTAATTCGATATCGCCGGAATAATAATGTACAATTTTCTCTCCACGGTTTAATGCCTACGGGTACACTGCGGGCGGCGGCGGCGGCCTGTATCATATTTCAACGCTGCAATTCGTTTTGTTTTCGTTTTTTTCGCTTCCACTCTCAAAGTACCTACTTTGCGAATAAATTACCTCCGACTATACTCGGCGTAGAGTACCGCGTTTGCTGACGGACGAAATGCAATTTTTTTTTTTTTTTTAAACGAAAAGCGTTTTGATTGCAAAAATATAACAACGGAGCAGAACCGCGCGGGGTCAAATTCGCCAATTTATTTTAGATTCCGAGTGGAGCGAAGAAACTTTTGGTTTTACAACGATGTTAACTTACGTTTTTTCTACCGGAAGACATGTTCGGATTTACAAGTACAACGACATTTCCGAAAAAAAATCGGTATGGGGAGGTCATATTTCGATTTTCTCAAGATACTCTCACGAAATTTGAAGAACCGAAAAAAAAAACGGGAAAACATAAGGAATGTAGTTATTAGTTAAAACATATTACGGCCTTCTTTTTTTCCGTGCACAACTGTTCTACCAGAAATTTCGCTCCAACTTTTATTGATAGCAATGTTTCTAAAAGGAAATTTCACTAGGAGAGGTAACTTTTCAATTTTCTCAGTTTTCCCAGCAAATGTGGAAAAACTGGGAAAAACGTGTGAAAATTGGAAAAATCGGTACAACATTAAACAAATATTATTAAAGAAAATATGTAAAGCTTATTTAATTATTGTAATGTAAAATGGCACATATATATTATCGACAAAGCATCAATATCAACTGAACTCCGCTCTTAATCGTTATTTCTTAAGAAATGATTTATCGTTGCTTACAAGTATGCCTTGAAATACCTATAACAGTTGCTGTACCCGTCCCCATTACACTAGGACGTGTTTTTTTTTTCGATTTACCCTGCCGTGCCGAATGAAACAACAACATCGTAATATCGATTGTCGGGTGATTGTCAGTTTCGCCCGCTCGACAAATTCCAAGGGGTTTCGGGGGAGATGGGGGAGGGGTTATAGTTGTACGAATGATCGTGTTGTACGAAAAAAAATCGAGTTTTTATACCTTGACGGTTGATTTCGTTTGATTTGGAATTCGCGGCAGTTTGCGGATAGTGAGTACATAATAACAATAATAGTGTTAATAATTAAACGGTGATTGACAACAAATAAATGAAAAAAAGGAACGACACACAAAACAAACAAATCACGTGTAAACAAATAATCGGATTACGGTATTAAAACCGAGCGTGCGATAAAGTATAGGAGAGAGAAGAATGGTTAAAAGTGAGGCCAGAAACACGGAGAATCCCGGTGTGGTGGACGATTGTGTCCGTATCGAGTCGTGTGGAGTCGGTACGGAAAAACGAGAGGGATTTCGGATGCGTAACACAGAGGGAACTCTTAGAGTTTACGTTAGAAAGAAGTTCGGGGACGTCGATAGGTTCGGAAACCCGAGGATGTTTTCATCAGCATGCGTTCGGCGCGACGAAAGAGTGCGTCCGTTCGTAGGTCGTAAACGTCATACATTCGTGTTTATATATTGTGTTCGCCAACCCCCCCCATCTCCCTCCCCGCCTCCCTCCCGCCGTCGCGTTCGATAGCAGAAACGTTTATTTTGTCGACCGTCGAGAACTTCCACGAACGTCTGAAATCCGACGATGGTTCTAATGAAATTAAGTGGAACAGAGTTTATACGGTTATGGTTACATAGGTATACCCCCGCGGGTTGGTCACTCGACCGAGTCGTCCGGGGTCGTGATTAGACACTGATTTTTTAGCCACGCGTATTTATTTTTCCATACCGTTCTTGTTATTATCACCGTCGTCGTAATAAAGTTACGTAGACTTTTTACGTTGAGTCTACGGGTAAACTAAAATTAACACGTACGGCAGATTTTACTGGGCAACATTACTAGCCAAGACAATAAGTTTAAAAACCGACAAATTTAAATTACCATAGAAAAACGTGTGGAACGGGATCATAAAAAAAAAAGCCGGTCGAGATCTGAAAAACAGAGTATTTGGAGACGCGAAAATGAGCTTTCCTAATGAGCTTTCGGACAGTCGATTTTATCGCCAACAAAATTGTGCAGAAACGATTATAATATTATAACGGTTTTTATTCGGCGATATTCTAAACGCAGCAGATCACCTCAAAAGAGTTGTCCGTTTAATAGACCAAACGCACGCGTTGCGTACGAAACGAAGTGGCGCGAGAGTTTTTATTTTGTTCGGCGAATTTTCGCAAATTATTTATACGGCGTTTTTTAAATCCAATTTACGTTAAGTACCCGCCGTGTAATGTAGTGTGTTTTCGGAAAGACTAAATCGATTCATTTAAACAATAACGTTTTCCAAAGTTCGTGGGTATGGGTATTTAAAAGTTGTACTTTAATTTACCACGTTAAAAAGTTTTAATCGAATTAACAAAAAAAAAAAAAAAATAGAACGAAAAAACGTTGGGCACCTATATTATTTATACAAAATTATTACACTAACAACGGTGCCCCATATCGCTTATATTATTATGAAACATGCTCGTTTTACAAACTCGTATTGAAAACGAGGAAAACAAATACATAAAGTCAAGACGATAGCTGGTATGCATACGAAAAAAAAAAACTACGAGCTTTCAAACAATTTTTCTCGTTCCGTCGCGGCGAGAAAGTAATGGTTTTTTTTTTTTTTTTTTTTTAAATACGGCCTACGAGTAAATATTTCCGGTCATCCGTTTACAGATATTAAAGTCGGTCAAACGGCATTACAACGACGGCAACACCGGAACGATAAGCAGAACCGTGTGGCGGTCAAACGGTTTCGTTATGGGAGAGACGAGGCTGATTTCCGACGATTATTATTATCGCTGTTGACATTTTTCTTTTAAATTTTTAAGTTTATTTTTTTTTTTATATTTACAAATACAGGATGGTTAATATCTACGGTTAGACAGCAATTAAATCGGAAATTCATCAATAACTCTTTACGGAACTATTATTTTCTGGATTTTATGTATTCGACGAGCAGCTCTAGAACGGTTACATTACCGTTATTTTTCGATTTTTGATTTTCCAACAGCGACCTACGTTGTACGTTCGATAAATATATCAAGTTTTAGTGTAAATACATTTCGGTGTTGAATTTTTAATTTCCGTCGACCCGTTGACGAGATATTACGCTTTTGAGTTCAGGCCGGCTGAGAGTGTTTGTTATCAATGTTCCGGGATGTAATTATCACGAGTTGTTTTTGGTAGGCAGCGAATTTCGAACCTTGCTGTTTTTTATTGGCATTGGTGAAACCTCGGTAATGTTTACGCAACAAAAGTCTCTAGAATTTTCGTTTTCATTATTATTATTATTATTATTTATTTTTTTGATTTTGCACTAATATAAGTAATTTTTTCGATCCGTAAACAAAATAATGTTCTGTTTTGTTAGTAAACTAGGGAAACGCTTTTCGATTCGTCTCATAAAACAAAGAAGATCACAGTCGTCTTTGTATAGTTGGGGAAACCGCTGAAAATAACGTACGGTCGCAATAACGGATTCGTTACTTTCGATTGTATGTTTTTGTTGTAAATCGGTTTTAAATAATAACCGTTGAGACCGAAACGTTAGTTAAGCGAATACTATTATGTTAACACTATATGGACGTGATACGAATTTCATAATATTTCGACGTTTTTTGAGTAATTATAATAGTCGTATGAAATTTTCGAATTTTATTTTATTTGGTTTTCATTCGGTTTTATATGGCCACAACTTTTGTGACACCATAAAACTGTTGATACAAAGTTTATCGTAAGTTGTTGTTCCAATGGCGCTATAAAAACATCGAAAAACTGTAGCCGCGATTTCTTTTTATATGCGCGTTTAAAGTTTCGCCAATTTTGATGTAAACCGTAAAAATCATAATTTCGTGTACCTATAAAAACAAAATTGTTTGGACCCGTAAAAATGCTCGACAATTTCATATTAAAGAACACGGACAATAACGTTGTACTTTTCAAATTAGGTGTTTAATGATATAAGGCTCAGGATCGTTTTTCGTTAGCGACGATTCGATTCGTCGTTGCGTACGAGTATGAATCGAATCACTAGTATTCTGAACCGCTCTAATCTGCGGTTCTCCGTTTTCGTAAGAATCCGCGGTATATTTACTTGCCGTTTTCGCGCAGCGCTTTCACGAATTGATATCTTTCTTTTTTTTTTTTTTTTTTTTTTTCCGAGGCCTTTGGATCATTATGCCTACGCGATAATATTGTATCGTACGAATACAGTTTCCGTAATAACGGTAAGAATAGTGCTAATGGAATTATTGTGTACGACTCGAGTGAGCCGCTCGATGGGGGGTGTAGTACGCGTGTGTGTAATATCGCGTGCCCGTCGGTTTTAAATTAAAAATTTACCGGCAAACTTTCGCGTACTATTCGTGTGTACACGTTTAAGTTAGAAATAGGTTTTTTTGTTTTTTTTTTTTATTATTCATTTAAAGCACCGACAGCTACGTCCGTAAGTACGCCTTAGGAATGATTGTCACTTTGTCGGTATATTCACGGTCCGGATTTAAATGCCCCATGAAAAATGCTCTAAAAATAGCCAATCGATCCCCGAAAAAAATATATTCATTCTAGCGAAATATAGCCCTAAATAAAAGCCATAGTTATAAAGTAATAAAATATATTTCCGTTTCATTAAATAATATTTTCGATATTATACTTCATTTATTTCTACGTGACCCGGCGTAGTGGACCGTCGCTAATACAAAATAATTGGCGAAAAACAATTTTTTATTTTTTTTTTTTTTTTTTTTTTTATGTTTTTAGAGCATATTTTAAAGTTTTTTTTGAAAACATTACAACGTAAATTTCAGAATTTGTTAGTGCTATTAAATCCCCGCCCTGGGTATTAGTTTAAATTGTATACAATTTTATTGCAGTCGAAAATAAGAGAAAATTTGACAAGAACTTGAGGTTCGATATTGATGATGTTTACAGAATTGTACAAAATATATTAGTACACAGAATCCGTACGAGTAAAGAGTACGTAGTCATTGTTTTTATTTTTGATACGTAAGCACTGTGTACGTTAAGAATTTTTTCTTATAAATTGGCGGGTATGGATGTAATAGTTAGTTTCTTGTGGTTAGGTATTCTGAACATTTTCAAGAATCGAGTTATGTTTGAGTGGCAGATTTCGGCTCTCGACTTCCTATCGCCAATAACGTCGGCGGGGAAGGAGAATGTGCTATTTTTCCAACAGTATTTTGTTTTTTTTTTTTTTACTTTTACTTTTTGAAGTTCGTTTTTGGGCTGGAATGCGGCATGGAATCCCGGGAATAAAACGACAGAATCTTATATTAAATTTCGATTTAAAACGTTTCGCGACCATAAATACCTACCGCGGGGATACGCAGTAGAAAAGAACATGAAAACGAACCGCGGAGGTTTTGACGGATGAAACACAAGCGACGCGTTCTTTACAAATTGACGGATATTCACGGCGAACGAACACAATAAATATAGTTTTGCACTCGCGAATTCGAAATGTTCCCAATTTGCTCGCGCTCCGTCATTGTGTTGTTCGGTAGGAGGGGAAAAAACAAATCTATTCTGAAATAGACATTGTCGTCGTGTATATAATAATATACTCTCGGTTTCCGCGGGGAATGAAGTAATAAAACGAAACATAATATATTATTTGTATTGGACTTGTAAGCTTTATATGATTAAATTGCAAAAAAAAAAAAAAAAACTATTACTACACTACAGTTGTTTTTTTTTTTTTCTTTTTCGTAAAACGCAACGATTTATTATATCATTATTGGTTTGTTACTCGAAAAACGAAGTTGTTTGTTGCCGGCTGTGTTTACTGTATCAATAACTCCGTCATCGTTCGGTGTATTAAATTACTTATGTATACAAACATACATACATAATAAAAACCAGCAATTGTTAAAAACATAATAATGTAATGAAAACGTAATCCAAAAGAGCTTCGGGCTGACGGACGTGCCACTGTTGCAGATAAAATGTTCGGAGGGGCGTAAAGTTATCTAATTTGTACCTATGTACGTACAAGACGATAAGTTGTCCCCGTCAAAAAACGATTCTGAGCGAAGCTCGGTTAAAAGCGATTTGAAATTGATGTGATTTTTACGGTTTTCGTCGGAATTCGATATTAAAAACCATTACGAAAAATTAAATTACGTACGTTACATTTTTTTTTTACTTACCACTAACTATGTGACCCAATACAAAATTGCTAATCTCGCATTAAACTTTTGAGCACTTAAGCCGAAACAAAACAGCAATAGGATTTGTATTATTTTTATTTGATCCGTATCGAAATAATTCAAGTAATAATCGACTCGAATAACTGCTTTCTTCTCGAAATTCCGTATTAACCTTTTCGCGCCTTTCGATAATGCCCTGACCCCCACAATAATACGTGTCTCGTCGTCGGATGTTTCTTTCGAGAACGGACTAACATTGTTGTCATATCTTTTCCACCGGGCAAAACTGTCTCAGATGTCTATACGATTATTTTCGCTGAGCCGATATTGTGTGTACATTTTACCGTATTCCTGACGGGTTGTTTTTTCCCCCGTTCTTAGGAAAAACACAAGAAAAATCAATAAAAACCACTGCTCTCGTGCATTTCATTTTAACACGATACCACAATGTTCTTATAACATTTTTGATTGGCAACATGTCTGGTTAACAAAATTGACACACATACAATCGTTTTACAACCATTAAATTTCCCGTTATTCCTCGCAGAATCTATTAGGGGCGAGTAAGCGGATACCTTTGTTAACTGAGCGTGCTATCGACGTTTTTCCGCGCACGTTTTATTTAATTTGATAGCGAACCGTAGATACGGTTTTATAGAAATAAACACGGCCGCCATTAGGTGGACGCGTGATGTTCAATAGGAACGTACGGCATAGGGAATTCGATTTCGGCGGGGACAACATTGTACTGTTAGATTTAATGTCAGAGTAAATTGAGCTATTTTTAAAACTACGTCGGGTTTTTTTGCGATGCCATAATTTGAAAATGCTTACAAACCGCTTAAAAATGTATTAATAACGAAAAAGCCGGCCCGGTGGCACATAACTCGTTCTTGTCTTTGAATTTCGTGCGATTAATCAATTCGTCTACGTCATCAAAACTCGCGGCGTAAATTCGGGTTAACTGGACTCACGTTTCCTACGTCACGTGCCCGTACGGTTAGATATTAGATTTGGTTACGCGTTCCGGTAAGTCCTCCGAACCGACTTGTTTGTTCCCGTAGCAAAGTAAACTACGATTACGCGAACGATAAAATGTACGAACGTTTAATCCAATAGTTTCGCGAAATTTCGTTGGGAAAAAAATCATATACATAAAAATGTTTTAAACAAATTACAACCATTCAATGTAACTGCTTACGTTACATAACAGGTTGGAAACTGGAAATAATTACGTGTCAAATATGATTAACGGTTAGCCGACTGCACGGCGGTGCCTATATAATCGGCCAGAGTGGATCGCCAGTACTTAGAACCGAAAACGATTATCATTTATTTTGTTCCGTTTTCTCGCGTCACTTGCCCATCTCTGTTTCTCGTTATTCTCATTAAGCGTGCCGAATAGGTACACATTTATTATCTCCGCGTTTTAGTCTAATGGTACAGACAATTTCGAGGATTTTTTTCCATCTCGGGTTCTCAGTTTATTTTTTTTTTTTTTCACGAAGAAAATACATTTTCCCCTCTATTATGAATGTCGATAGACTGATTATAATCAGGGTCCGGGACTTACAGCACTTAAAATCGACAAAAGAAAAGACGCTTAAAAACTTCGTTATAGGCTTTTAAAATGCCCTTTAAGTGCTGTGAAATATGCACATTAAAAAATATTTAAAAAGTAAAACACATTAATGAAAGCATGTTTTTAACTAAAAATAATAAGCGACAAAACAAAAAAGACTGACACACTTCGCGCGTGGGTACAGCCGCTGTTGTACGTGGAAAATTAGGAAGATAGGCTACAAAAGGGAATTTAATGTATATTAAGCAACGATAAACGATTGCTAACGAAAATACGATTCTGAGCGGAGTTCAGTAGATAGTGATGCTTTGTCAACAATATAAATTGTACATGGCATATTATGATAGTATAGTTAAATAGTTATTATATTTTGTCTTTAATAATATTTGTTTAATATTGTACCGATTTTCCCGTTTTTCCTACGTTTATCCCAGTTCTCTCATAGTTTTTTCCGGTTGTTCACATTTGCTGGGAAAACTTTTAGAAAAATCGAAAAATGACCTTAAGTAGTAAAAAGTACCTTCCCAGTCCGATTTCCTTTTACTAAAGGTGCTACATTTAAAAATCGGAGCAAGATTCCTGGTATAAAAGTTGCGCACAGATAATCAATAAAAAAAAAAAAATAAACATCTTTGTAAAACCATAAGCGGGTTCGCTCCACTCAGAATTTAAAAAAACCATTTCAAGTTGCATATTTGCACTCATTGTAACCACGTTATAAATTGTCATAACGCAATGTTAGATTTAATGCCAAACGGACTAAATGGACAAGGGCTACAAGTCCCGAAACCCTGGTTATAATACTATAAACATAACTTGATTGTGGGAAAATATTGTGTTTGTACCGATGACGTTCGTTTAGATTTCGACATTGAATATATTATTAAAACATAATGTCTTTCAGGTTTTGCATTTTTTATAATTCTGCGACAGAAGAAACTACGGCCAGCGGCGTATAATTAGACGGACAATTCCCCAACAGCCTGCGGGTAATAATCTTATTTCTCAAGACCGAGGGGGAAGAAAAAAAATTCCGCGCAATTCAACGTTGAACACAATTTTAATAGAACTTTTCAAAAAATAAAGATACTTATAACAATAATAATCGTGGCACTCAAGTTATTTGTATACGTGGTTTTTTACTCGAAAACGATTCCGTAAAGTTTGTTATTATTGTCATTCGTATTTTATTTTTATTTTTTTTGTAAATTTAGAAAACAGTCTATTAAAACAATTTGTATTCAATCGCGTTATTTGATTTGCGGACCTGATATTTATATATATATGATAAAAGGAGTTTCAAAATGAAAATACGCAGGTATTAATAATAATATTATGAAAAAGGTTCTTATAAACCAACAAGTCTAAATTTTAATACCATATTGACATGGTTTTGAAATGAAAACGTTTTGTTTTTGTAATATCAATATGAAATCAATAAAAAAAAAAAAAAAAACCGTTCAATATAAAAACGACGCTACAACACACCCGATGTGTTTACGTATCGTTTAAACCGCGTTTCGAACAATATTATTGCGGACCGACTAGTAATTGTAAAAAGTATCTACCACTAATACCGGTACGCTATACCTACTCAATAAAATTACGAATTGCCCATTTATTTATATAATTAACCACCGTCGTAAAAATTAGGAGCGTAAACTCGGGAATTAAATAACGGCGTAGCCAGCGGATCCAGGCCCGGCGGTTCCGTTGTTCTCCGAAAATACACGTACAATAATGCGAAATCCGGTTTGGCGAATCAATACAATCTTCGTATTTTCCGTCCGACTTACCGGGATTACACGGGGGAAAAAAAAATGTCTAGCTACACCGGCGAAATTGAAGTTTTTTCATAAACGCATAACGTATTACAGTGATCAAATTGATAGTGAATTTCAAACAGAATTTCACAGTGTTATTGCGGAGGGGTGTGTTTTTGTAGCTTTTGAACGCCCTATTGGCGGAATGGAATTCATAACCCGGCCGAAAATGAATCTTGACCGTGCCACGATGTGCGTTAGGACGATAATGTGTAAATCAGTTCGTAAGCATTGTTTTTTGTATTTTTTTTTTTCTAAATCTATGCGTACGTTGCACTTTAATTCGGGACACTACGCGCGCGTGGAACTTTTCAAACATATATCTACAAAACGGCAAACGGAGTTTACAAACAGTAGTTTAGACGAGAACATTAATTCCATAGGTGTGCGCCCGTATGCCCGAACGCGTACGAAAATTTATACAGGGATGGGGCGGAAAGGGGGCGAAGACGCATAAATGATAAATAGTTTCCTCGTTTCCTCAAAATTCACACTAGCGTATTGTATCTTTAAACTTTACCGGTACATTACAATGTGTCCTCGGTGTAGCCGATCCCTCGCCACCTTACGGGCCATAGTTGTGAGGGGTGACGGTTGTCGGTTTCTTTTGACCTCTGTTTAGCGGTAAGAGCTGTAGGATGAGAGCGAGGTAAAGACGCGCGACGGCGGCGGTGCAACTCGGTGTGTAACTTTCCAAAGTCCTTTCAAAAAGGTCGCGCGCAAAAGAGGTGGATGTGTAAGTAGGTAGGTGGGCGAAGAAAAAGTAAAAAGAAAAAGTAAAGTAAAGTAAAAAAAAAAAAAAAAAAAATGTTTACTTGAAATGTCGGACTAAATTCAATTTGAAATAGCGAGAGATAATGTAGGTGCCGCAGGTACAACTATGATGTGTGTGTACATCATGTGCGTATCGCGATTTCTTTAGACTCGCCGCCGCGCCGCCGGGGTCCCGAGGCTTTTTTTTATACATTCCGAGTCAAAGAAGAACTCCTCGGTAACCTTTCTCTCTGTACACCGCTCGTGCGTATACATTTGTATATATGTATGCGTATACATAACATTATGCGTGGTATTCCGCTGCCGGTTCGCCCGAAACTCTCCGGGTTTTGTTTTTTTGTTTTTTTTTTTTTCTATATACGCACCGCAAGAATTACGACGTTAATTTGGCGCGGGGGGGAAAAAAAAAAAAAAAAAGGAACCGCCGACCGCCGCGCTTCCTCGCGCGCGCTGTATAATAATAATATGCGCTTACGCCGACCCGTCCGGGGTTTCGCGGGCTTTCCGTACGCGCGCGGCGGCGTGTGCGGTACAATTACGACGGGCGCCGGGCGCGCGATACGCGGCCGCGGTGACCGGGGGGGGGGGGGTGGGTGAGGGGTAGGTGAGCGTACCGAAGCGGTCGAACGGCGTGGCGGCGTCCGCGCGGATCGCACGCCTAACGTACGCAACCCCGAGTTCTTTCGCGGTGTTCCGAAGGCCCGACGGCGTTTCGCAACGTCCCGTAATACCACGCGGGCGCCACGGGCACTGATTACCGGAGTCCGGAATGAATCCGTTTTTCACTTTCGTTCGGGTGACGGCGGCGGGCCGGCGGATTTTCCGGCCACCGGCGCGATAGTTTGAACGGCGCGGGGGGAGGGGACGAAACCGGAAGTGTCACCGTTTTCAAATCGGACGGGAAAAACACGTTTGCGGAACGCGACGGTTGATTTTTGAAAATGTTCGGGTAAAGTCGAAATGTCGAATTTTTTAAATATATAATAACCGAATATCAACACGGTGTCGTGTCACGTTGTTATTGACCTAGAAACCATGTAGTCGAAGTAACGTGTAGGTGTTATAAATCCAGGGTGTCCGCCACGAAGATAAACCCATCGCGGTACCTCCTGAGACATTAAAAACTGTCATATTCTGTTTATTAAATTTATTAACGACAATCGTCATGCGTATGAAATAAAAAAAAAATCGGAATTCGATTTTCTTCGTTGTCCCAGGAGTTAGGAGGTGCGTTGCAATGGGTACGTCTTCGCGGCACATCCTGAATGACCGGCCCCCGCCCCTATCCTCCGTTAAAGTTAAATTCTCAATCGCCGGTCGACACTCCGTCCGTTATCCGTATCGCAATAAAACGTTCATTACGCAAAACGAATAACAATAGTGTTATCATTATTATTACTATTATCGTGCACCGTCCGAGAAAACGCAACGGCGGCAGCAGCTGCGGCGCAGTTGTGGGCCGCGAGAAAACCGTCGCCCGTAGCCAGGAATGACGACCGAAACGAGACCTCCGCAGCGTACCCTGTTTTTATTATGATTATATTTATTATAATTATATTATAGGATCGCACACGCGAGCCGGCTTAAACTTTTTTAATTACGAAAGCAGACTCGCGCCGGCGAATATGAAAAAATTTCCGCCCCGCAGACGGTACGGGATGTCGTGAAGTCGAGCTGCGCCGGTGGGAGGGGGAGGTTGTGGAGTTCTATTCCCGAAATATAAATCAATAGAACGCTCGTCGTAAATAATAACAGTTTTTTTTTTTAATTTCAAATATACGACCGATACGTCTATCTTTAATTATTACGGTCGGCTCGGTGTATTTTTTCGTTTCAGGGAAGTGAGAGGAGAACCGTGTGTTTTAAATGACAATTAAAACGCCGTTTCAAACGGCGTTTATTTTTAACCGTCGCTTCGTTCGATGAAGTGAATCGTTTTGCTAAGAAGTGCGTGTTTTTTTTTGTCCAAAATCGTTTTTCTATTAATTTTTTTTTTTTTCGAATTAGAGAAAAACGCTTCGGTTTTGTTCATGCCGTACTGTAAAAGGCGCGAATCCCATGCCGGATAATGTCAATAGACTCCCAACGGTTTTCTCGTACGATTTAAAAAAAAAAAAAAAATCAACAACGAATGTCGGATACTCCGTCACTAGACTCCGTCGAATTTTCTCCGGTTAAAGCCAAACGACTACCGTCTTACTCCCGAACAACACGCTGAAATCCAATCAATAATTCATTCGTCTGTAAAACAAACCAAATTTAATTGCCGATTCTGAGCTCGTTCGGTGCAGTGGGAGCCACTGAAAGTGCCCATCAAGAAAAGATGTATGTATACATGGTGATTATTTTTATCGCGATCCAGTTATTATGGCGGTGGATTTTAAGTGAACTCGCTTTCGGTTTTTTTCTGATCATTATGGAATCGTTAGGGCTTTATTTTAAAACCATTTGTAATTCTTACCCCTACTCCGTACACCATTAAATAAGTACACGATTTTGATTTTCAAACAAGAATTCAGCGGGCCGACCGGAAGTGTTTCGAAAGTAACTGGTGCAATCGTGCATTTCGAGCACTCTCACTCGCCCTTACTCCCAAAAGACCTCCCGGACACAGGCAGTTCAAAAAAACAATAATAAAACAGGCTACAGACGGACAGGCCTGTCCGTCGATCGTTCGCCCGTACGTTTATTGTGATAATATTAGATTACCGAACGTTGGACAATTTCGTTGGCGCCCGGCGAACCTCACGCATCCCCCCGCCCCCTCCAACCGCCCACGGGCACGGCCCTGTGGCAGACGCGCCACGGAGTCTGTCAGCGTCGATTTTCGCGGAAAATCCGACGAAAAGCCGATCGTTTTGCCGTGAAAGTTCGTTGAAAAAAAAAAAAAACCCCACGAACAATCGTACAACGCATTATTGTGGGTTGTGCGCGGTCACAAACGAATAAAGCATTTTCAACGTGAATGCGCAATTACTGTTACACATCGTACATATTATTTTCAGCGTGCAAAAAAAAAACGTACGCAGACAATGGCGTCAACATGTATTATTGTTAATATTATCATTTCGAACGATAACAGCATTATTATAACGCCCGTAGCGTTTTCAATAACTTTTTGTTGGCATTATTGAAACAAATAACGGAATCCGACGTCGCGGAAGGTTTCGCGGGACACGGGCACCAGCGACAACAACAACGGCGATAATATTATGGCCGCGTCCAATAATCCGCTGTCGTTGCGAATAATTCGTATGAAACACTTGAAACGTAATGTTATTGTTATTATTATCATTATCGTTATGATTCTCGTTCCATTATCACGGTAATAATATATTGTAATTCTATTATTTCGCGAATACAGTGTGCGCGCGTGTGTGTGTGTGTGTGTGTGTGTGTGTGCGTATGCATAGATATTATTTTAGTACCCGGAGCGTTACCGCTATACACCGGTGTACACCGCGGTGCCCGCGCCTTGGAACGAACGACCGAAAGTTAAAATAAATTACAATATTATCATGGCGATAATATATAACGGCGAGAAAGTCGAATGTAAATCGAAAAACTTTTTCCGCCATCTTGATAATGATTAGCGACCATCGCGTAAAACAGAACCGTAATGCAATAATAACTCCAGATAAAATACATTTAGGTGTGCGAGGCGATTTTCGGCTAACGAGTTACCTGCGTAACAAACGCGCATTTCGGTAATAAGAAAATACGAAAAAAGAAAATTGAAAAAAAACAAAACAAAACAAAACAGAACGCAATTACAATATTCGAAGAATTCGCGGCGTGCGAACAGTTTTGGATTTTCGGCGGTGCGGCTTAACAGGTTTGTTGTACGTATAGTAATGTACCGAAAAATATTTGTCGTGTTGGACACTTTGGTGTCCAATCGACGACATTCATCACGGGAATCTCGCCGCAATAAGAAAAAAAAAATAAATCCGTCAAGTAAACTTTTTCTGCAGAAAAATCCGTCTAGTTACGGCGCGTTGAATAAACGGTGGTTTTTTTTTTCGTAATTTTTTCGACACAGGCGATAAAACCGAAAACGAAACGACGGAACGGTTACTACAACGGTTATGCAACGGTTTCTATTGTTTCGTCTATTGATTCTTTGTTTGTCTTCTGATGCAAATAATCTCGGAACACTGGAATTCGCGCTTAAATACTCACATTCGCTACTTTCTAGACGGCCGTGCGATTCGCAAAACGTTCTGACCGCTGTTGAGCTATTTTCAACAGTTTGGAATTGTCGAGCCGTTTCATACGATCTGTTTGCATTCCCGATAATGCAGTGGTACAATGCAGTGGACAATGCACTATTATAGCAGCGTAACGATACACTTTGTACGGTGCGCAATGCGAGGAATGTATTCTCGCACCGTATTTTCACAATGCGATTACTAATACGCGCATAAATTCATACCGATAAAAAAAAAAAAAAAAATCTTTTCGCGTTAATGCATATTTAATTTCGCCAACGACCGTATGAAATATTTTACGTTTACCCGTACGGTACGCGGCGATTGTCGAACGTGTTTTTCTGATAAAACATTGTTTATGTCGTTATGTTCCTCGTAAAAATATGATGATTATTACGCGACATCGAAATTCCCCCGAAAATTGCATTCGCACCGTAGCGAAACTATAAAATTTAAACGACCTGGCGACCATATTTTTATTTTTTTTTTTTTTTGTTTCGTAATGTAAATAGAGTGCCGACGGTTATAAAATCGTAGTGGTTGTTTTCACGTCCGACGTGAAACTATAAAATACGTTTTTACGCCCGGCCCCGGCCCGATTGGGCGTATTATTGATGACGATTACTGTGTATACGAACGTAATATCATTCGTGCTATTATTGACGATGTATCAATCGGGCGGGGGATTCTAGTTCGTTTCGCCGACAACAGTTGGCCGGGAGACTATTTTTCGAGGTTGAAAAACTATACGCACTATAATAACGTACCATATCGACTAACTTATTTCTTCTTTTATACCGCCCCTTATTGTCCGATTAAATATTTTACGATAATCTGTATTGCACGATGGTCGCACCCGGGGGGTTTAACCACCGGCCGCCCCGGAAAGTTTTTCGAAAGTAGAAAAATAAGCGCGCCGCCAGAGGGCTAATGCTGTTCGACAATTTACGAATGGTATTCCTGTCGGTAATTCGACCGATCGGAGAACACGACGGGAAAACGGAAAGTTTCGTGTCGGACGTGAAAAAGACAACTGTCTTAAAAAATAATAGAATCTAATATTATTTTTTTAGCGGTAATGCGTTTACAACATTGTTTTTCAATATTACGGTCGCCCTGTTCTAATAATAACCAACGAACTGTATATAATTGTTTTCTCAGGCCGGATTAAAGGTACAGTAGGCGTCCCCGGGCCCTCTTTTAATTCAGGCTTGATTGTTACAGTCGAACTGGACGCGTGAGTTGAATAATTAAATACGGTTTAAGAGAGTATACAATATTACGGAGATATTCAACGTATATAATTCTTCGTTATTTTTGTTTATTGCATTCTGAATGTAGCCAAGAAACTATTAGTTTTACAGCTGAGATATGTGTGTTTAAAATTTAAAAAACCTAATTATATATTATGACTGTATGCATAGGTTTTATTTCTGCGGATTTCTGAGTTTACTTCGAGAGCTACGAGGCCACGACTAAACATGTTTCTGACCCCACTAGATTATCAAGCTCTGCCCAGAAGGGGCTTTCGGAGCTTTTTTTTCGATTGCACTAATTCATCGTTGATCTCAATGTATACACTGAATTATCATAAATCGTGTAATAATTTCTAAATGTACCATCATGATTGGTTCTGAACGACAATACTAGTGTGAAAAAACATCGAGCCGAACATCGTATAGGGATGCTCTCAGCACCTGCCATTAACCAACGATTATTTTTCTCATCTATTGCTCTAACCAAATCAACAACGGTCATACCAGTAAATAGTTAAGGCGGTAGCACGTATATCCTAGTTCCGAGGAGAAAGAGGGGGGGGGGCGAGTTTAAAATCCACGGAATTCAGTTTCTTAAGTTTTAAGTCGAAGGTAACGTAATGTAATACGGCGAAGACGAAAACGCCGAGAGCGGGAACGATCTACCAATTGCCCTCACACCGGATATCCGCCACTGACGCACGGACAGACACAACGGGGGTGCGAGGTAATCTCTAAACTCATGTTTAGAAACCTAAAACTAGGGTCTGCTAACACGATTATACGCGTTTACGATACGCGCTCGCAGTTCGTCGTCCGGTGGTTTTCGTTGATAGAAAACGCCCCGATGATAATAAATCGGGCGAGGCGGACGGTCACGTTCGTATACGTACATTTCGTATTTACATAATTTAACGTTGTATTATATTTGCGCGGTACGTACGTGTAATATCATGGCGTTTTGGAGGTGCAGGTATTATACCTGCCGGTATAACGCCGAAACGGAACGACGTTACGAGATTTCCCGTAGCGTCTAGCGTCTCGTTCCCCGTCCGTGCGACACGTACCCTTGTATGCTCACGCGCAATACGTGTGCGCCGTTGGAATTCAAAATGCCAACATACTAATGTCCGATTTCGGCGGAATACCATAACATAGAATATACGTATGGACAGGCGATAATTTACGCGCGTTATATCGTTGCGAGGGTCGGTTCGCGAGGAACCACCGCCGTCCCTTAAATAAATAATGATAACACCGTGTGGGTGTAATAACATTTGCATGTGGCCGCGGACGTTGCTGCGGGCCGTCGCCGTACCGTTCGCGCCCGTTCGAAAAACGGCCGGCAACGTGCTTCGCATAGCCCGTAACTGACAAAAAAAAAAAAATCAACGGGGGAATCTTGCAACGTCCGAATCCTCCGGGCTACGTCAGTACGCCACGGGCCGATATTGTCAGACACCACGGCTGTGCACCGTGTTTCTAATCGGACGCGCGAAAACGATTTACTTCGGGCGGGTCCCCACACACACTTGTAATGTGGAGTTTACGAACGCTGCGCGCGTCGAAAATGTGCTCGCCCCTATTAAACTATCTCGCGGCGCCACGCCACTTTGACTGACTGACGATTTTTTTTTTTTTTGTTAACGGCTGAAAAAGAAGCCGCTCCCGTAGTATTTACATTTCGACATTTCCCGACCCGTACTTTTCGTTATTGCCCACGGCGGGACATATTGACTTCGCGCGGCAATCAATATTTTTTATGTGTTAATATCAACTGTTCGGTACGCACATATATAATATTTTCTATAATTGTTTTGAATTTTTATCGTGAAAATTTAAATATACACGCGTCTTGACGAGCTGAATCGTATTTTATGTCGTCTAAGAATCGTTGTTATAAACAGTAGTATTTATTTCACGTGACTCCCGGGCCGGTGAGGGGCGTGTTTTAAATATCCGTGGGCTCAGGGAACGACATCAATTTGATGGTTTCTTTTCTCGCTTGCAGTACCAACGAATTCCCATACTATTTCAATTAGGTTCTATTTTATTTAATCAGTCGGTCAATTCGATGACCATTTTCGGGTCTTACACATAGGCTTAGAACACCACATTATATCCCCGTGGTGCTCGTCGTTATGGTTGTACACAATTGTCACGGTTGTTGATTTGGTCGAAAATTGTATATATGTATATTATTGTAACGTTATTACTTTAAATATGAGTGCGATTGAAAAAAAAAAAAAAAGGCCAAATATTACCAAATTTGCACCGAAATATAATTTAAGAATCGCCTAGAAAAATGTCAAATAACTATTCACAGATTAAGATGGGTATTTTATTTATTTATTTAGTAACCGGAAACTTCGCACGCTCGCAAAATAACGTTTTGTTTTTAGTGTTTAATTCACTACTATTAATTTAATTGTATATGTACGAACTCCCAAGGCACTTTAAAAAAATCGCGAACCCCTGGAACCCCGGGCTGTCCCGGGAGCATTATATTTTCTCTTGGGAATACGGGGAGGTCTATAATTCCCCTGGCACAACGTTGTAAATGTATTGGCATATAATTTAGTTTAAAAATATACTGTATATGACGATTAAATATTATTGAGATAAAAATAAAAACCGCAGTTTTCAGCGAAACTCGTACATCTGACTGGATTAGCTAACAAAAAATGTAGATTTTTTTCCACTGCGAAAATCTAGAAAAAAAAATATCCAAAATTCAAGCGTGAACACCTCTTAATTAAAATTCGTCTACGTTAAAAATATCAGATCATTTTTTAAATTTTTTTTGTTTTAAATATCCAGAACATGGAAAAATGTTACTACCTACAGTAACTGAACGGAAATTCCTTTTACGGAAAAGGTAAAAGTTTTGCAATAGGATTTTTACTAATCGAAAAATTGGTCACGAAACCTATACGCGTCGCAAAATAAATACATTCCTCGCTCTGCGCAGAATATTGAACTACTACAATTTTCGAACAAATATAGCTAAGCCCACGATCGGTTGAGACGCAGCGGCGAGTCAGTGGCGAGCCCAGGAATTTTCAATGAATGGCGATAAAAATAATAATCATATTCCGTGAATAAATCGTAGGGAACTCTTCCGTTAGACACGTCCGCTTCGGTAACGAGAATATTTTATATAAAAACGGGATGCAAAAACGTTTCGTCTTTTTTTTTCTTCTTAAAACTCGGCTGAAATATGTATATTTCAAAAAAAAAATAAAAATAAAAAATGATTAATTCAAATATTATTATACACAAGTTTTGTATTTTTAAGCTAATTGGAAGGTTACCGTCCTCCCCCTAATATCCTGTCTCCCACGCGCAAGTCACTGTTACGATTAATTCCGAAAGGAAAACGGTTTTAGAGGAGACAGAGAGAGAGAGAGAGTGAGAGAGAGAGAGAGGGAACAAAATAGAGTCTCACGACTACGGAGATGAGATGATATACCGAAACGGTGGCGCACGCGTCTGCTATAATCGGGAGTTGTTCGAGGACGCGTTAAGGTTTTCGGTGACCGGAAAACTCGGAAAAGTTACGCGTATAAATGCACGACGATAACGAGTACGTGATCGGAATATTATTTGGTATCGCGCGCGCTCCATCGATCTCTTTGTGCGCCGTTCGCCGATTTGATTATTTCACTCCGTATTATTTGTTACCCGCGGCGTTATTATTATTATTATTTTATTATTTTATTTGCGCGAGAATTCCTGATTAGGATATCATCGGAGTACTCCTAACCCCGGCTTTATTTTATTGATAAAAAAGCTCAAACATATTTGTTATAAACCCTCTAAGTGCTGAAATAAGTACTTTGAAAATTGTATGATAATAAAAAAAAATAATTTAAAAAAAAACACTTTCAAATGCCGTATAAGAACTTTCGAATCGTATTAAAACTACACTCGTCGACTGTTATTGCCCTATGTCCAGCGATTATCGAAGTGACAAGTAGATAACATGAACTATCCAGTACGCCAGTGATTTTCTACCTTTTTTTTTTTATTCTACGCCCTACTCGAACTTGGAGCGCGTTGGACAGTAGAAGAAAAAAGCTAAATTGTTTAGAAATCATAGATAGGAGAAGAGAATTCTGATATTTCGTCACTAATAGTAACGCTAAATTTCCGTTCCTCCTATTATGAAAAAAAAAAAAAAACAAAACAAAACACGCATTATTATATTGTCTAGATCATTTATTACAAATATTTAGTTGTGGTATCGTTCCATTACAAATAAATTACCACAATACCGGGTGATTCATTTAAATGGGTACACTCACTATCTCGGAAAGTATTCATTTTTTTTTTTGGAATTTGTTTTCTAGAACATATAAAAAATAAGCGGCCTTACAATTTTATATTTGCGTTAATTTTTTTCACCCTTAACTACTAACCACTTACCACTAAATACTTTCGATTTTTAAATGGCACCTATATCGAAAAGTCCATAAATAGAGGGAGTATTAAAAATTTTAGGGTTGAAATTTTCGATTTCTTTAAGGTCGTTTAAGAGATATTCCAGTTTTAATTTTAGATTGGAGGAGAGTAGTGGTGAATTATTAACACGCCACGAGACGTACCGCCACACAAATGATACTCCATTACTCTATTCCGAGCCAAAACCATAAGTGGAGTATCTCGTCAATGGATCGACGGAAATCAAAAATGTCAACACTAAAATTTATTTTAACTAACACTCCATTTATTTATAGACTTTTTAATATAGGTCGCCATTTGAAAATCATAAGTAAGTGGTGGTTTATATTAATAATATAATTATAAAATTGTAGAGCTGTTTGTTGCTTGATTGTTTTAAAAAACAAATTCCGAACAAAACTAACACTTTCCTAGATAATGAGTGTACCCACTTAAACGAATCACCCGAGATATTATTGCGATAATGCAATCCCGAGTTTTTCGTTTTTATTTACTCAATCTATGGCACGTTATTCTACGAGAACATAGACCACGGTTGTATTATGGTTGTATAACCGCGTTGTAAACGGCATCTAAATAACAATGAACTAATACGATAAAAAATAAAACATAATAAATAAATAATATAACGCATTTGATAACAACAGGTTAACTTCGATTGCGGTAGATATTAACATTTATCATAAGTTTAATAAATACAATAAGGACGGACATACTTCGCACGATTGTTCGGTCACTGTTGTAGGTGAGAAATCGGGAAGGTAGGGGAAATAAACGTGGATCTGTACGCATCGATTAATCTTTCATAAATAAAAACGATTCCGAGCTGAGTCAACAAGTTATACATGTTAAAAAGGCCGTAAAATTTGCGATTAATACGCATTTCGTATATTTTCCCGTTTCACCTAGGTTTTTCTTACGGGTTTTCCCATTTATCGGGAAACATTCCGGAAAAATCCGAAAAACAAAAAAAAAAACGACCTCTTTAAAATACTACTACCCGGCTCCGCGCAGAATCTAAAAGGGACGAGTTCCGTTTTGCGCGTTTGGAACGGCGACGGGTTTATTTTCGAGTGGAACTTCGCCGCGCCGCCCGAAACTTCTATCAACCCGCGACGTCGCCGGCCCCGCACGACGCGGTTGACGCGGGCGAGCGCGGCTGTTGTTCGGTAACTGTTTATCGGCGGGACGGCGCTAACGTCCGATGTTATCGCAACGTCACCGCGGTCGTCGCGTGAACCCGCGGACTCGCGGCGGGAGGGAGGAGGGGGGGGGAGGTGTTCGGACGGACCGTTCGCGCTGCTAACTAACGAAATTAGTGAAAATTACGCGGCCGAGGGCACCGCGTTATTGTCGCGAAATTCCGGACGTCTTGAATTTGCGCCTTGGACGCCGCCGCCGCCGTCGGCGGAACGGCCGCGGGACGCGGGCAGGTACGTCGCAGCAACAACCGCGGCGGTCGGCGGGCGCTCGCGCTCCGGGCGCCGCAATCGCGACCCGGCGGCGAAAAATTAAAAACTCCGCCCGCCGCCCGTACAGAACATCCGCGGCTATTCCGGGGCCGCGGTTCCGGCCGCACGCGTATACCACCGCGTACCCGTATAAAATACGGGACGGCGGCGCGGGTACCGAAGGCGTCCGCGGTCGGTTGTGCGAACCGCGGGTTAGTTCGGCCGAGGAAACTTAATTAAACGGAACGCCACCGGCGCGGCGGCGCGCGGCGGTCCGTCTGCGCCGGCGGTTCGACGGACGAGTGTTGCGCCCGCCTTTTCCGACCCGCGAGTTTCCCGTTTAACCGTACGTACGAGGAAGTTTTCTTCTTTTTTTTTTTTTTTTTTTTTTTTTAAAAAATTAAATTACATTTTTCGCGTCCGTTAACAACTTTTATACCAGGAATTCTCGGTTCGGTTCACCTTGTGTAGCGTTTCGCGCGTCCGTACGGTACACGGAAAGTTTCTGTCCAGTCGGCGTTTCGACTACGGCACTATTCGACGGTTTTCCACGTAGTCGATTTTTTCGATAATATTCCGAACATCCTGGATAAAACGTGAGAAAAACGGTTCGTTACACGAGTAACTTGTACATTACGGTAAAAAAATCCGAAAAATTAACGTGATTTAGTAGTTTCTTTTCATAATGGCCTTTAGATCAAATTCAGAAAAATAAAAATCGTAAATATTATAGCATTTCAATACGGTATTTTCTACCTCCCCGTATTCCCACCAACAACAGTTGCGCACCCACCAGAAGTATCAGATCTTTTTTTTTTTTTTTAAATTTGTACTTGGTTTTAAGAGGATAAAACTTTTTCGGCTAGGCAGAAATGTTTAAAAATAAAACATATTATATCTGCCTCTGTTGAATAAATAGGTGACCCCGAGCTTTTAAAATTCGATAACCGTGCTCTGGACAAATAGCTGACCACTAGTTTTAATATCATTACGCGATAAACCAACAGACCTCGTGCAACACGGCAGTAAACGTTTTTGGAACTATGGTAAACTCCCAGTACTTCCCAGTTGACAAAATGTTAATTAATTTAAGCATGCACGTAAAAAAGTATTATAATATTTTTTAAAAAAATGCTGATACTCTAAACGGGTGTGCCGCTATAATGGGTGGGAAGTTGGTAAGATCGGGAATTCGAATTCTTATAAAAAACAACAATGTCCTACATTACACTCAATTGCAGGCATTTCCGTTTAGTCTAACCATTGATTATCTACAGACTACGAACTACATAAAAATTACGTGCACATTAAAAGGGGAGGTTTAGTAAATCCAAAACATAACTATATATTGATCGTATAATTTTAATTTCAAATAATTCTCCTACACATAAAAAATATTTATTGTATCGTATTGTTATTTGCGTGCAATCAAAAACGCGTGATAATTCGTTCGATCGCCGATTATTATGAAATAACCAAATAAACAACGACGCGACGCACGGGCGTACCTGTTTTGCCTACACGCGACGCCTGACGATAATAATAGTCGAGAAACGAAACGAAAAGAGGCGCGCACACACTGCATCATTGGTCGGTCATTATTGCGGGAAGGTAAAATATAGAGAGGAATTTAATTTTTATCTATGATAAAAGAAAAATCATTGCTAATGAAAATTGTTTCGGAGCGAAGTTCGATTGTATATGTTTTGAAAGGACGTAACACTTATGATTTTTGTCAATACTTAATGTTAAAATTCTTATTGAAAATGAAAATACATTTTACAAATTGTTTTTTTTTTTTTTTGATCACAAAATATAACTTATAATGAAGCTCCTGTTGAACGTTCAATCATTTCTGTTAAGCCTGACAATTTTATCTACAGCGTACTCGCCGATTAAAAATCAGGTACGTAATAATATCGCAAAAATCAAAATCTGCAAAAAGTTCTCGAATAACGTATCGATTCCAATGCCCCAGAAGCCACTCTACTGTTTTTCAAACCGGCTATTTCCCAGATATTTCGGACGGGGTCGTCATCGTCAACCACTAACAAAAAAATACACGTCACTGTCACTCGGGTCCTTTTTTGGATTTATCGATTTTGTTTAAATTTTCAATAAAAAAAAAAAATGATTAATACTACTCCGCTCAAAATCGTTTTCAATTGTAATAATTCATCGATGCATGCCACACGTACACACGTATATGCGTCACTTCATTTAATAATATACCCTATAGCTTCCCGACTATCCACGTATAACCGTGGCTTAATCACGGCGTGACGCGTGCACGGACATTTAGAAAAATAACGTCACAGTTTCAAACTGTGTACTCATTATGCGGTTTATAGTTCAAATACAATAAACTTCCCGGCGTAAAATATTACAATCGAACAAAATATTATCATATTGTTTATTTAATAGATATTATAAAAGAGCACCGTTAAAGAGAAAAGTCATTGTAAGACGTACGATAAATAACCGTACCGTTTTATGGTCGCTCGTCTTATTTATATAGTTTTAGAGATAATTAAATAGGGTTTTGAAAATCAAAAAACCTCTCGGGAACTTAATCTCCGACTCGTAGCGTATCGCCTTTAAATAACGCAATATAACGAGTATTATGTGTAGATGATACTAAAACTATATTTTTATTGAGTCGGATGTTAAAATGACCGAACGACCTTTATCAAAAAGGCGAAATGATTATTTTCTACCGTATATGGGAAAATATTACAATAAACAATATACAATAATTAAAAAAAAAATTAACGGGTACATTTTAATAAACTAAAAGCTCCTTATTCCGTTATGGTTCTGTTAATAATCTCAATTAAGTATTATATTTTCAGTAAAATGCATGTAGTACATTAAAATAGTGTTAATTTATAAAAAAAATTAAAATTTGATATACTTCATACCTGTGGTATGGTAAATAAAGATTGACCGTTGGTAACGAAAAACGAGTCTGACCGTAAATTCTTTTTAGAATATTATCTTTTACAAAATGGTTGGTTTAAAAAATGTTGAATACAAATAAAATAAAAACTTACTTCTATCAATAATTAGTGGGTAAAAATTAAAATTAAATTAGTCTCTAAATATTTCCCCCACGCACAAAACCCGATTGAAAAAAAAAAAATTGAACATTGGCAGAATTATTTGACTAAAATTAACACTCTCGGACACCCTGTATAAGTACATAATCTACGGATCACGGCCATACGTGTTTTTAATTTTTAATCTCGGTGTATGTTTATACCGTGATAACACGAAGTGGTATGACGTTTAGTTTAACGATTTCGTCAAAGTGAATTCCCGGTTGAACCGTTGAAATTAAGAAAAAAATATTTTATTCACACGAAACACCACCGGCGTCATTTACGTGCAGCGGGATGTGAACTATTCGAAGCATTTTTACGAATCAAAATTAAACGCTTCTTAGCAAAATCAATAATTGCTTTTTCGCTGTGCGTGGAATTCGAAATTGGCCACAATAACACTGTAACAGTAGGTATGATCTTGAATTGATTAACGTATTTTCATTAATAATTAATATTCAAATCCGGTTTCGGACATGTTGATTTTCTGGGAGTCGAAGATTTTTTTTTTTTTTTTGTCTACGTCATCTGAAACATTGGCACAAACCGTTGCGTATCCACGCACAGGTATAAACTTAAGTGTTTCGCAGTGTTTTCCCCCGTCATAGTTTCGTCCACTCGATTTTCGGTATCAATTATATTCGACCGGACGCGACGACGCGCGACGTGTGCGAAAGTATGTTTTCTTCGATTCGTTCTGTTTGCTCGGTCGTCATTCGAACTTTCTTTTTGTAAATAATATTTACTTTGAGAAAATAGCCAAAAACAATAATATTTTATGCCTACTGACTTAAAAGTGAATCATCATCTGCACCTGCACCTAACCAGTAACACGCGCGGACTGCTTCGCCCGGTTATCAAATATCGATAAGTACAAGTACTTTCCAAATCTACGCTCACCGCGTGTGGTATTTAAACTTGAACCGCGTTTCAATTACAAAAATAAAAAAAATTATTTTATTTCTATTTTATGGCATAGAGGGTTAGGTATACAATATTTTAAAAGCGAAAAACGAATTTTGATAGATCTCAAGTTTCGCGTTTTAACGGTTTTCGGTTTGTATTTCTCGAAGTATCTCGCGTTCTCGACGGTTTACTGTGGTTTTGTACATTATTTAAAAAATTATACTAGCTAATCAAAAAGCAAAACAATCCCATTTGAGTATTTAACGTTTGTTTTCAACAATTATTCGCTCCGTATAAAGTTTCTAAACGGAATATTTCAAAAATTGTCACCTTTTCGAGTATAATTGTTTTCCGTCAAAACAATAATACGGATCTCCCACAAATTATTGTATTCTACTTGAAAACTAAAATATTGCGCAATACAGTTCGGTTCAATAATCACGTTGCGATTTGATTTAATTAAGATACTAAACATTACTTGTTATTACTTAAAAAAAACGACTGTTTTGTTTTTAACTTACGAGATCAGGATTATACATGCTAAATTTAAAAATGTTTACGTAAAAAATATACGTTCCAAAGTTCAACTGAACGACGGATCTGATGGAAAGTTATTGGCCACCAAAATATTTAGATTGTGTTGGATAATGGAACGCGATCTTTCGTTTGGAACATTTTAAATACATTGTCAAGTATGATGGGCACCTTATCCTTGGCATAAATTTAAATCATGTTTAAACAAAAAATATCAATCATCAAAATCAGAAAACTTAAACGCTGGATTTGATGGAAATTTAGTTAGCAACGTTCAATTTCGCAACAAGGTCTAACACTAAAATATTATCAATCTGTTTAATTTTGTAGTGTACATTATCGTTTTGGTGAAATATCGTTGAATTTCGGGAGACACCGCGACATGAAAAGGCCGGCAAGCCACGGATTGCGGTGTTTGCACATAGTCACTAGTCGCATAATAGGTGTCAGTGAAAATGCGTCTGGTGACACGACGGGAAGGGGATGTGCGATACGGGGCTACAATTCCGTTAATATACCGAACGGAAAGATACATCGTTACGGTCAAAAACCGATTCCGAGCGGGACTCATTAAACTGAATAGGTAATGACTATCGGTCGTGTTTATTTTCTTTTGCACCCGGGATAATATCGTTTTGAAAAAAAACGTGTTTTGTTAAATCAACGTGATATCAATAAAACTAAAACCTTCGTTACACCCGTAATATCGATCGGCAAACAAAAATATTTAACTTTCGTTAAGATGCCGAATAAAAACAATCGAACGATGCCTCGGTATACTTTTATATCGTCTCGGCGCGTAGGCGTAATTAAACGCGGGCAATTCGACGCGCGCACGAGCTTTAACTAAATAATTGAAAACCGTAATTTATATCGTACGGGTTTGTTTTTATCAGATTCGAAACTAGATTGGTACCGTGAATTATCGCCGTTTAATAGGTACTTGCATTAGGAGTTTAATACGGTACAACATTATAATTAGATTTCTGTGTGCACTCGTTTACAATGTATACTTGTTCAACTCAACTGACGTTTACAACTCTGTTAGAGCGTCCGTCCCGATCGTCTCGAACGGTTTCATTCAACCGTCACCCGTTTCCCGATCCGTCCCGAGGTCTCCCGCCGCGTAGTTTCCATCCCGTCCACAGCCCTACCTACGTGGCTTCCCGTAACGCGTCCCGGCTGCCGCGGTCGTTGTCCCCTTTGCGTGACCGACGGGCGGCCGGCGCCGAGCCCAGTCCGTCGTCGGGTCCCGCGCGAAACTCCGTTCCCTCGTCGATCCATCCTCGTCGCCGAGGGCCCGCGAACCGGTCCGCGTAATACCGTCCTGTGTCCGTCGTCTCCGGAAGTTCCGGGTCGTCCGGCCGGTACACGCGCGCCCGCGCCGAAAACACGGCGGACGGCGACCGGACGCCGGCGAGTGCCGTGACCGAAATATCGGAAACCCCCGGGGGCGTATCGCGTGCGAGTGCAACGACACCGTGCCGGGGGACCGCGCCAACGCACGGCGGTACGCAATACGGTGCCGCGTCGTTCGCGATTATCGGCCGTACAATATGTGCGGTTTTGGTTTTCGACGAAAACACAATTCTCACGGTCAATTCCCCCGGCCCCCGGCGCTCGTTACCGCGACGGCGTGCGCGACGATACGATAAAGCCGCGCGCGCGCGCGGATGACACCGGACGATATCGTCGTATCCGCACGCCGAGTAAATATTATATTTGCACGGGCGCGGGATTTCGGGGTGGGGGGGGGGGAAATATTTGTCTTTAAACGGTGTTTCGCGTAGACGCTTCTGTACGCGTGTACACGTGTGTACGACGAAAATGTAAAAAGAGACAGTTTTCGAGAGACGGAGAGAAAAGGAAGAAAGAAAAAAAAAAAAAAGAAAAAAATAGTAATCCTACTTTACACGACACGGAGCGAAAATCGATATCCGTATGGTAGGCGGAGGCGGCGGAAGAGCGGCGCGGTGACTGTACGTGTGTATGTGTACATAAATATATTTTGCCGGGCGGGTTGGCGGGCGGCCACGGTAGGCGGCGGGGGCGGGGGAGGGGGGCGCGGGCAGGTCGGAGTTGGCGGTTCTGTTGGTGGTCTTCGCGGGTCAATAGAACACCCCCGTCCGCCGTCCCCGTTCATCCCCCCCCGCCCCGGTTTCTGCCGCCCGTCCTCCCCCATCACCACCCCCCCCTCCCGCCACCTCCCCATCCCATCCCGTGCGACGCGACCACTGCGATANTTTATTGACGACCAGTGGTTGATTGGCAATACGCGTAAATACATAATTATCATCGTATTAAGTATTAGGCTAGACGCAGTGATGTTTTTTTTTTTTTTTATCGTCTTGTTTTGTAAAATAAAATTGCTAAAATTGTAAATTTTACGAAATACGAATGTTTCGTATTATAAATCACAGTAGATATATTATTTTTTCCATTTTAATCTAAAGCAAAATAAAATATGCAATTTACGAACTGTAAACGCGTACGAATTGAGTATAGTTTATATTTTTTCTCTAACTGCGGAAACGTCAATTATAAATAAAAGTTTGGTACCTATACTAATCTTATAAACGGGAAATAACAAACCGTTATCTTAAAAAAAAAAAAAAAACAACTAATTTGGTAGCGCCCAACATCTATGAAAAAAAATTAATTTATATCGACGGTAGAGGTAGAGATTNCCCTCCCCGCGTCAACTTATCAATCCCCACCGCCACCACCACCTCACGGTCGCGGGTACCTGTACGCGTCACGCACGCGTGCGGATTGTGCGGAACAAAAACTAAAAGACAACCAAGAACGTGTACGCAGGACACCCGCTGACGGAAAACGCTATTGTCAGTGGCGTAGGCATAAATTATGTACGGCGGTTCTAATTCTATCGATTATCCGTAACAGAAATTAATAATTGAACAGTGAAATCATACCTCTTGTAATTTCAAAATATTGGAGGGAGGGGTACTCCGCATCATTTTTATTTTATTGACGACCAGTGGTTGATTGGCAATACGCGTAAATACATAATTATCATCGTATTAAGTATTAGGCTAGACGCAGTGATGTTTTTTTTTTTTTTTATCGTCTTGTTTTGTAAAATAAAATTGCTAAAATTGTAAATTTTACGAAATACGATTTTAATACTATTTCGTATTATAAATCACAGTAGATATATTATTTTTTTCATTTTAATCTAAAGCAAAATAAAATATGCAATTTACGAACTGTAAACGCGATTATAAATAAAAGTTTGGTACCTATACTAATCTTATAAACGGGAAATAACAAACCGTTATCTTAAAAAAAAAAAAAAAACAACTAATTTGGTAGCGCCCAACATCTATGTAAAAAAATAAATTTATATCGACGGTAGAGGTAGAGATTTCTAATCGCCGCCGGTGCCTAATACATACGTTAATCCGTACCCGTTCGACGTTCAGAATCTAAAAAGGTTTGACGACGACAACGGGAACCCGAAACGTCGATACAGCCAGTTTGTCTGATTAAAAAAAAAACAAAAAAAAAAAGGAACCATCGAAAAAACCCAAATATCCGCGCGCACGTCGTCCTTTTACCACGGTGACATCGATTTGGATTTGCGCGTACCTGACCGACGGACGCGACTTGTATACGGACGCCGGACTGGCCGGGATGCTGGGATCCCATACATGTATTTATATATATATGGGTAGCGCCCTATACCCTAGGATTTAGCCGCCTCGGTCTGTACGAATTCGCCTCGGTTAAATACATTTAAATAAAAAACAATATGGATTTTTAACGACAAATGTGTATAATTATCCGCCAATATGCAGACGTGAATAAACGTAGCGATTTTTGTTTATCGACATTAGAATGCTTACCCGTGTGTTAAAATTCGAAATTTATTTTCTAGTTACGACACAGTATACATTTGTCAATTTGAATTTGTCGAAACACGCGGTGAACCGAACTTGCCCTTTGAACGGTTTTTCGTTTGCACTGATTTATCATCGCCTACAAAAAATCGCACAAATAATTTAAACGTACGTCTTAAATTCCCAACTCGCGATAGCGGCCCGCCCGTACCGCCACTGCGAAAAGTACTCACGTCGGATTTTTTAAAATTCGTTCTTTTATTGTTATTTTCCCAAATAATTGTTAGTATTCGTCCCAAAATGGTGTAGGGTTCAATACCCCCGCCCATATTTTTTTAATTTTTTTTTTTTATCAGTCTGCTCGTATTACACACGGTACATTTATCGTAAAATATTGCGTACTATTGTATAGTACACATAATTACATTTTAACGTTACAATATTCTCGTGGTAATTTGCATTACGATTCGGGCGTATTTTTTTCGTTTTTTATTTTCGTTGTTCGCCGTTATCGCGATGTACTTATTATATCAAAACGTAAATAAATTATAATATACAAAATTCACAAATTACAATATTATAATTTGTCTAAGTAGGAGGTGTCTGTACCGTAAACGCGCGCTGGCACGCCTATAATAGCCGAATGCAGTAGGTATTCATATGACGGAAAAAAAAATAACAATAATAATAAAAAAAAAAAAAAAGAAATAATCGATTTTATGGATTACGTGTACATTACGTGTTCCGGGCGTTTAAAAGCTCCGCGCGCCACGGTGCGCATATCGAAACCGACGAAAACATATTATTTTTACATTACGACCCCCGGTCGGTCGTGTTATATTTAAATTTTGCATAACGTGTGTACGTGAGTGTGAGTAAAAAAAAAAAGTGCACCATTCGTACACTTCTTTAATTTATATCTGCTTTTATACGCAAAGATAAATCGTTTATAACCAGTGACACAATTAGAGGGAGTTTGGGAGCCATAGGCCCCTTATTATTTTTTTTTATTTTTTCAGCCTCGCAATAGTGTTTGTTAATAGTGAGTTATATAATTTGGTTGGCGCAGATAATATAAAACTATAACAACACGGTTATTGATGGGTAGAAACGAAAATAATATTAGCAGTTTTTTATTTTTGTTCTGACCACGTATTTAAAGGGAACGAATAATAAAAATATATCAGATGAAAAAAGTATTTGTGAAGTGCAGAAATATTCATTTACATAATTATAAAAATTAATTTTTTAGTAAATCTTATACAAAAATTACTCGTTACATTAATATTACAGTTTTTCACATACATATTTTATTTTTTAAATTAAATAGTAATAAATTAAAATAAAAAGAAATATCCTTAAATTCAAATTAAAAATATTTATTATCAAATTGTAATCAATTAAACATTATCTTTAGAAATACTGACCCCAGCATTATTGCAAACAGTTCGTTTGCTGGTATACATTTTCGAAAGATTGTGTTTGTTTTTTTGTCAATCGGGTTTTATATGCTCTAACAATTGACAACATTTTTTGAAATTCATCCGAAAATATTAAAAACAATTTTTATTGTCCTGTTTTAAATGCGGGAATAGCGTACAGAACTCTCCTTCTTTTTTCCTTGCCATATGCATGCTACGAACCCACTGTCTTTTTATTGTATATATTTCTTTTTCTTCAGCTTCCGACAAAAGAGCTAGGATGAGTATCGTGTCTTCTTCGTCACTACTTATATCATTTATTATATTATATCAGGGGTTGGCAACTTGATACGTGAAACAAAAAGAAGCGGTAACATATTGTAACGAGCCGGCGATTTGCCGTCGTTGCATAAAATTTAACACATTTTTTTAATATAAAAAAATTTTCTTTATTTTACAAATATTAAATATTAATTTACATATAATAGTTTATTTTAAGTAGGTTTGGTATATGTGCGGAATACAAGAGTTTTTAAACGGTGAACGCGTGGAGTGTTACAATTAAACCGTGCAACATGATATAACAAAAAAAAATGAAAACCTAATACAAGAGTATTAGTAGTAATATGATTACAAACAAGAATAACAAGAAGTGTTTGGTAAATAGAATAGCCAAACACGTCTGGTCGGATGATTAAGTACGGAACGTAGGAGTGTAAGTTTAAATATGGTTGATTTTTGGATGGTTTAAGATGTACTGATTACCGGTAATGGCGAATCTCGTTACCGATATATCGGGGATTGCTCACCTTATAGCGTAAGGAATATCACGTCGGAGACGTTTAACACTTCAATTATGCGTCTGAATCGCCACTTGAATTGGGGTACCGAGCTGGCCTGGATCGTGACCGCTTCATTGAATTGAACGATGGAGTATCGGGAAAACCGGGAGTAGCTTAGTAATTAATGAGAGACGACAGAAGACCGAACAATAACAGAATAATTTTAATTTTATACATACATTTATTTTAAAAATAATAGAGATTAATAATATCAACAGAGATAAAGCCCAATTTAAAATTTTTAATGTTGTGAAACCAACTACACCTAAGCCTTGGACAAGATTACATGGATTCAAGACTGGTTTATGGAAACGGAATGCTGATTTTAAGATTGCGACATGGAATCTGACAAGTTTGTATAAAACAGGTGCAAGT